GAGAGAGAGAGAGAGGTATTTCATGTGGTAGAGTAATGAAGCCCGAAAGAAGTCCCACATCGAGCATTTAAAGAGGCAAATTCCTTTATACAAGTCTTAGCCACCCATAGTAGTGTATCGGCATTAGTCACATGTGCAGCTGCATGCTGACCTATGCATACGTAGGTGTAGGAAATGATTGACTAATGAGTTGTGGTGACTTTGAAGAAGCAATAAATTATGGGGTGGGACATTGTCCATTTTTCAAAAACTTTTAAAAAATTTTATACTTAAAAAAAAAAATTCAAAAAAGGTAAGCAACATGGGGCGGCCGTTTCAGGCCGGTTCAGTTCTGATAGAACTGGTCAATTACTAATAGAACTGATTGGTTTTGTCAGTGAGCCGGCTAGTTCAGGGGGGACCTGATTTGTTTTCGATATATAACGGGAGCGTGAAAATTAGAAATCCAGATTGGAATAGGCCGATGCAGATAGGGAATCATCGAAGCCGATTTGATTCCTGTTATAGATCAGGAACCGGTCAGGTCCCCCCCTGAACCGGCCGATTCACTGACAGAACCGACTAGTTCTGTTAGTAATCGGTTGGTTCTATCAGAATTGAACTGGCTTGAAATGACGGTCCCATATTGCTTGTCACTTTGATTTTTTTGAAAGTTGCAAATTTTCTTAAATTTTTTTGAAAAGTGGGTAGTGGTCCACCATATAATTTATGGCTTATTCAAAGTCACCACAACTCATTAGCTTAATGTTGTCAGATTCGCTTTGGAGTCTTTATCGGTTTAGTGAGAAAAATGAAGCAATTCGGTGCTTCGGCCGATTTGGGCGAAGACTTTAGACTTCTTTTTTTTTTAGTATAAATAAATGAGATATTATATATAAGATATATACAAATTATAAAACATAAAAAATATTTTTGTATAGCTATTTCTTTGTTGGCCAAAGCATACCCGAATCTAACCAATGCGGCTTGAATCTGATTGAAGCGGTGTGATGACCCTAAATTCAAAAAATAAAAATATATATATAATAAAAAATAAAGTAAAATCAAACAAAATAAAATAAAAATAAAAATAATATCCATAATAAAATAATAATAATAACAAAATAAAATAGTAATAATAATAATAGTAAGTGACAAATAAATAAAAAATAAAAATAATTACATACAAAAAGAAATAATTTTAAAGGATGGTCCATGGTGTTAAAAATACACCATAGGACCATCCTTTTTATTTAACACAATTTAGCATAAAAAAAAAATATTAATTAAAAAATACTAGAGTGAAGTGTCCATCATTGCATACTCATTAGTTTGAGTGGCACAAAGTGGCATTCTGTGGCCCATAAAGAATGAGAGGTGGCACAAAGTGACATTAGATGGCCCATAAAGAGTGATGAGGTGGCACAAAACGGCATGAAGTGGTTCATATTAAAAAAGAAAATAATGACACATGAAGTACATGTGTCAAATATGGATTAACTCTCCCCACTTATAAATAACTTCCATTGGTCCTTAACTAAACCTTATAATTGGTTTTCTCTCTCTTCTCTCAAATGTGAGTTTCTCTCTCTACATAAGTTTTCTCTCTTATTTCAAACATTTTCTCTCTCTCCCTCATCATATCTTGCTCATATGATATTAATGATGTTCTCATAATTCTATTATGATAATATTATCATTCTTATGTATTATTATTACCTCATAATAATGTTATGATTTTAAGGATATTCTCATTCTCATGATATTATCATGAGAGTACGATAATGAGAACATTATTA